TCCTGCATCAACGGAGACTGAACAAACCTTTCACCCGATGATTGAGATAAACCAGGGATGTTTGCAGGCACATAACCTAAAAAGAAAAGTTCCGATAGGAAAGGAAATGAAGGAAAACTGACTAGCAACCTGGTGCTAAGGATTCCTGGTCAGTTACCCGAAAATTGTTGTACGATCGTGACAACTGAAACTGCCATAATATTTCAATAAATTTGCAATCAAAACATAAATAGAAGGTCTTACAAGAAACGAGATCACGTCCTGAACTTGTACGTTGCTTGTCAACTCCACTTGAACAAGTACCATTACTGAAATGGTAGGATCAATGCAATACCTCACCTCGGCGTTAGCTTTGGTGGGCCGCAATTACACAAATAACACCATTAAGCAACTCAGTGCAAGGTCATCGCCACGTGCACACTCAACATCTCCTACATTGTTCCTGTTTGTCCTGTAACTTGGTTCTTTGACCTGAGCCATGCACATTCCTCTCACATGAAAGGCTTTCTGCCGTTGGCTTTAACCAAATAACTGAAAGACTTACAAGTCACAAAACGGTGGGCGTTTTAGATGAAGCTGTCTATTGTTTGAAAGGAAATTTATGTGTCAAGTTTTGTCTGAAAGATATGAAGGTGTTTGGCTGAGTAAATTTCATGTCAATTTGTCCTCTTCAGACTCTCAATAGAGCGAAACTGCCGAAAAGTCAACTGTTTTGTACTAAAATCCCAGTAGGCAGAAAATAAAAAAGGTATAACATTGTGATTTCAACTACAGCCGCAGCTTAACTGGGTTCTATGCCGATTTGGGCTCCCCAGATCAATCCCGCTGACGGGTGATTGCTGTGGCAAAGATCGATAGAAATAGCTGAGAGACAGGCGAAACAAAGGACCCGCATGGTGTGGTGGTGAACGCGTTACTCCCCGGAAAGGACAATAGCGCGTTCGTTCCCCACCATAGACACCTGCGGTCCAGAGTTTTGCAAATATCTCAGCAACGTTGTGGTTGTATTTCGCTTAGTACCCTGCCGCGAAATTATAGTAGGCAGAAAATAAAAAAGGTATAACATTAAAATCCCAGTATCAAAAGCGTCTACCGTCATCGAAGTCGAGACCAATGTCAGACATATCGGGCTCCGCTAAACAACAGGAAACATTTGGAAGTCGTGACAAAGTATCTTCAGCTAGGAGCCACCCTCATGCTATTAAAGGAATTCATTCTTTGGAAGCCGTATAAGCCGCTGATCACAGTTAGCAATATTAGCGCGATGGGAGGTTTTTGTTGAAAATATCCATCTACCCTCTTCACCCCTTCTTCATTAAATTGTTTAATACCGGGAATGACAGACAAGAACTCTTCATCGATGTATGTCACTGTCCTTGTTGTCATGTTGCCATATTATTGTCATATTATCAAGGTTATCATTGGAAATTTCAGTGCTACGATTGAACCCAGAAGAACATCACAGTGGAACTGACGCATATCAATGGAAAGAGCAGGATGAACGACTGTCTGGGTTTATCATGACGACCAACACCACTCATAGTAACTCCCAGTTCCGGAAGCCCCACTCACAACGCTGGACGTGGGTGTCTCCCAGTGAAAAGTACCTTAACGAAATACACCACATCGTTGTAAATCGAAAGTTTTGCCTAACCTATGTCGCTCTTGTCGCAAAATTCTACACGGATCAGATTTTCGCCTCCGAGCGAGATTGCACTTCGCGTGGAAAGGAGAAAAAGCCGCTAACGTTAAGAAACGAAGTCCCAAAACCACCATAAACTGGGATTTGTTCAATTCACTAATCGGTTTTTAGGAAGATTTTGTTCCCGATAAAATCGACGAAGAATACGACCGTTCAACATCTTCACGTTAGCGCTATGAAAGCTGAGAGTTCCAAAGTCACCAAGAGACGTCTGTCTCCAGAAACACTCGAACTGATACACCGGCGTAGAATCGCACGATCTGCAGGCAACCGCCAACCTAGTTGCCAACATGCAAAATACAAAGTCTACCGAAGCTTCTCCCACAATTAAGGTCCGCTCATATTCACATCATCCTCTGTTTTTTTTCCGAAATATTCTTTTTGTCTTCGATTGGCGTAGATATCGCCTTGTGAAAGGAGCGGTGACTCTTCTTATATCTTTTTTTTCTTCGTTCCATTTCTTCGTTCCTCTACCTTTGAACAAACTTTCCAATCACATAGCGATCCCAGATCAACTAGCTACCCAAATAATAGCTGAAACGGAAAATATTGGTCATTTTCTCTTCCAAACGCAAAGGGTAGTTCGAGAAATGAACTGCCAAACTCTTTACCTTCATATATAATGCTGAGATATTTGCAAAACTCCGGACCGCAGGTGTATGCGGTGGGGAACGAACGCGCGCTATTGTCCTTACCGGGAGTAGCGCACGTTCGTTCCCCACCGCATACACCTGCAGTCCGGAGTTTTGCAAATATCTCAGCATTATATACGAATTATATTTCGCAGCATACCCTGCCATTAAAAATAAAAAGGTGGTAAATAAAAGGGTTAAGATTGTCTTTATCTTCAGTTTTCAATGTTGTCATCAATGGAGAACCATTGGTGGTAAGGTAGTCACCGATAGCATCACGACTGAGACAGGTCACGCGATCGAAGAGGGTTCAGCCAAAGGCAGGACGTCGCACGAGATATGGAGTAACCGCTGAAGGCGAGATCACTTCTGACGAGCAATCGTAAATTAACAAGATGGCAGTTAACAACAATCTTGAGATGGACAACGGATCACCTTTGGACCCTCAAATGAATGATAAACACGCGCAAAACTCGGAGGTGGCAGTGTATGCAGGATATACATCGGAAATAAGGGCGAGAACATGATGCACTGAGAGAAGAATTCGTATTGATGAAAGTGGCGACGCGCATAAGGACAATTCGCCAGACGGAGAAGCTGTTCGGTACTAATAAATATACTGATACCAACTTCGTGCTTGCTCATTGAAGAAAAACAGTTAATCATTGGTCAGTACCGAGGTTAAAAGAAAGTCCGTCCTGAGATTCATCTTTTAAGTGTCATCCATGTTGATGGTCAGATTCATGTACGTGTTTCACCCAGGGCTTAAAGATTTTTCGCCGTGTTCCTTCTTAATTGAATGCTGGTCGGGTGGGTTTTCTCCGACCTTCCGAAATAGCCGTACCAAACCGTTTACTGGGTGTCTTTGGCTTTATCAATAGCGGATGCATTGCGAATAGGACTTTTAGCAGGTATCAGCGATTCTTACGTTTAGTGAACTTTTCGAACGTTCAAAATAGGTGTAACTCCTGTTGTTCTGGACACAATATCACAGTGAATATATTAGGCTTTCCCAGAATTAATGTCAGATCTTTGATCTCGTTCTTCTTGTGTTTCAGCAATGATTTTTTTTCATACAACGCTATGCTATTACATATCACGGCAAAGCTCTTCTTATGCACTTCGCTTCGTCTATGTGAATTATAATAGAAATTGTTTTGGACAAATTCCAAAGGCTAGAATTTCAAATATCAATAAAGATTTCGACACATCTGCTGATTAAGTGTAAAATTATAAAAGGATAAAGCTCTCGGCATTGATCAATCCCCGAGGGATGCGTCATGCATTAGACTTCATTTAGCATCGTTGGAGGTGATTGAATGCATACCTGGCCTTTAAATGACTCGCGGTGGCTGTCCGATTTATCGAGCCAGTGTTGCTATCCTTCCAGACAGGTCTGGTGAACCTGGAGCGGGATATTGATCCCATTTGTATTGCAAGGCACCTCCGACCACTGCGCCACACGCGTTCGTAGTTTGTAAGACGAAGTAAGGTAATTAATGTTGAGTTTAATAGAAAGCCGGTCTTTTGGACCGTTCGTATTAACGTTTACTGGTTAAGGACAGAATCCTTAGTGCTGCTCTGAACTCGTCCACTGATTCGACCAAAGTGGACGAGTTCCGCAGACTTGTTTGCGTCTTAACGTCGTACTTCCGCGCTTCTGCTGGATAAGACTGAGAGAAATCGAATAGTACCTCAGAATCCTATTTATAAAATAACATCGATGAGTCAACTTGAGCTAAACAGTTTGTTGCCAGCGATTCTTAACATTTAGTTGGTTAAGTGATCTGGAATTGAATGAGTAAGTCCTTATTAAGCTGCACAACGGTCACTTCATCGGAATCGTAATGTAGACGTGCAAACAGTGTGTAGCGAAAAACTTTAGTCCAATGAAGAAATGTGGGACCAAACTATACAATATACAAATGTCGTAACAAGTCAACATATAAACCACTTCAACCATGCGTTACATGGTGGTCCCATAGAACATGAGAACAGAGCACAACATAATAAAACTTACAAGCGCCACAGAATATCACAGAGAGAACATGCAATTGATCAACATATTTTGACATGAGAGCTTGGTTGCTTGTTACAAGTGAAGACTCAAAATCATAAAAAGTCAGTTATAGCGTTGTGTTTGACTCCGTCGAACCATGTTCGACTGATCCCTTGATTGAAGTTATACCCGTAATCCTATTCCAAGTACTGCACTTATCCGCCCAGTGGTTTCAGCTTAAGCATGTCGGGGTGTTCGGGCGCGTCGGATTGGAGGCTTAAAAGGGCTTTACCAATCGTCGGAGTTACCCGAGTTGAGAAGAATTTCGATATCTTACGGAACTCCTAAACCCACAGAGCGATCCTTGCCGTCTTGGAAGAATTGTGGTTGTAAGGAGGAAAACCTGCCTGTGATCTACAAAGGTGAGCGACTACAAGTGTTAATAACCATGGAAATCTCACAGATTATCTTGAGATTCCACAGAAAAAAAAGATTGGCAACTAGCGAAATACCACTGAAGTGTAAATTGAGCTTTGGTCCGTATAGTTCGTGAAGGCGGGCCATATAAGTAGCCAAGTAACTATCTGGATTTTTACACAACTAAAAAAATCTATTCATATAAACACGTATGAAAGGACGACAGATTAGTTACCTAAACTTCTACCTATTAAAGGTCTTCGGCTATCTCAGGCAGATGCTGTGCTGTTTCTAAACAATCGTGCAATGAAAAGGGACGGAATGCGTGTCCATATCCTTGATAAAACTTTGACTGGAATTCAACCCAGTGCAATCTTAAGGCATGTAGGAAAGCTGACAATCCTTCCATCATCACCAGAATGGAAAACGACATCACCGCAAAGAAGAAGAAGATCTGTATTTACAGATATGATTAGAAATGGATAAAGGAAAAACATCAGTTACGCACCACATAAGTAATCAATGAAGTCGTGAAGAGACTCCCTTGTGTTGACAGACCACGAATTAAGACCATATGCCATAACACCTCAGATAACTCTAAACAGGAATGAAGCGAATGAGAAGAAAAGATCCAACCGATGAGTTGGAAACACAGGTGTAAGGCTCCTTTTAAACACTCAGAAAAAGAATTTCCAAAATCGATTCTCCATTGGCCTCGAAATTGGTCAACAATTTACTGTTTTCTTCATCAGCAGACACCACGTTGTTAAGAAGTAAAGTTAAAGTTAACATCTGAAACTGCGTGAAGAACTTTTGAAGGATTTTGGGTAAATTCCAAAAATCTAAAAATGAAATCCAAGGAGGAATGCCTTGTGGTCACACGTGACCTCGCGCCATACCTCAGGCTGATCCCTTCTGATCTGGGCAAGGCACATTACTGAGCCATGTAGGACTCCTTGAAGCTGGTCTCCATTGAAAAAATGGACAATTTAAAGAACCGAATAGGGTGTGCTTAAGAGAAGCTGTTTACTATGCGAATAAAAGGATACCATGTATTAAGTATTTTTCTGCTGTTATGAAAGTATTTAAATGGATAGATTATTTGTTAATTTGACCTTTTCAGGCTCTGAAGAAGAAAAAACCGCATAAACGTCGCCAAGTGTTGCACTGAACAAATATTGTAGTTAAAAACCACGTGTCTCCTCATCAAAAAACAGTCACACACAAAGGCCTTTAAGGAACGGGATACTCTCTACAGAATATATACATTTTGACTAGTAATGAAACTAAATTTATCTGAACCAACTTAATAATACTCAAAGGGAGTGTAGATGGTACAAAAAGTACGGAGCTTTCGGTACGGATCAATCTTTGAGGGATGCACCTCGCGATCGACTTCATCAAGCATTTTTGAAAAGATTGAATGCATGTTTTTTCCTATACAATAACATGCGGTAGCTTACCGATGTATCAAATCAATGCTACTTCCCTCGCAGACAAATCTAGTATCGATTTCGCAACCGCATAGGGATAGAATTCATGGGGAGCCTGGGGTATGGGTTCGAACCAGGAATCAATGCAATATTGCAGGACAGATCTGACCATACACATAGCGCTACACCCCTCTTCTAGGTACTATAGACAACAGAAATTGTACTACTGAACAATAATTTCTAAACCGACATTTGAATGAATGTTTAATTTAAATAATACAAGGAATTTGGTACTTTGAAATATTTTCCGTCAAGATATCAGAAGAAAAACTTACGCGCATGCGCTAGACTGAGAGCCCATAAGCGGAGGTACGAAGCGGTATGGGAAACACATCCCAATACAAATTCGATTGTATGAATTGCTTGATGTACAAATTCGTCCAACAATGAGTGCTCCCTTAGGTAGCGGTCAATGGCCACAAGGTGTTCGGAATCATCCTGAAAATATACCGCGTTAAGACCTATTAAGTGCTACTTAAATCTAAAAGACATGGTGAAAAAACGAGTACGAAAACTGAACTTCTCAAATCAGTAGAACAGAGATAAGCCATATTTAAACAACACATAAAACAGTGACTTAACATGGAAGTTCCAAAATGCTGGTTCCCGCAACAAACAATAATTTCTTGAGGACTATGATATTGGAGATGGTAATCTTAGATATTTATTGAAGAGCTTCTACTTTATTCTTGCTCTACTTCACATTTTCAAAAAGAAGCCTTTACTTGATTTCCTTAAGGCTTTAAAACGTAGAGCGCTGAATGTCCACAAAGCTTTTCGAGATGCGCAAGCATCTGACTTCATAAAGTATCACACTGGCTACTGAATGCATATTTGGCCAATGTAATGACTTGCATGGGCCTGCGGATTAATCGAGTCAGCGCTTTATATCCTCCCAAGCAATTTTGGCACCAATATGCTGACCTTGGATAGACCGAGAGTTTCGTCCGCTGCGGGCTCAAGATCGAACCAAAGAAACCAAATGTTTCAGGGGACCTCTAACCACAGCTCTACAGACCCCCCTCTTAGGGATGCATGTAAGCTCTACGAAATAGTTTAAGAACTTCAAATTTACTAGAAAACAAAATTCTTTAGATGTTTAAAAGAGAATTTAAATTCTTGAAAACGAAAACAGCAGAGTTAAACATAAACGATAAATTGGGGAACCACATCAAGATCTGCTGGAAATAACTGCTAAACTGCCTTGTTGTACGAGACAAAAAAAAGCAAACGGAAAAAAAGGTGTGCAGCAGACTGGAGAAAATCAGAGCTTGCTGTTGTTCAAATGATAAACTTATTCCTGGTTGGTAGAGAAATGCAAATTTCAATGATCTGAGGTGGCCCAAATTGTATTAACCTCGGCAATAATCAATATGACGCTATTTACTTGATAAGCATAAACAAAACTGCTACATAATATTTATTAATCGTAGCTAACGTCTCGGCCGATTTCTGTCTTTAGAGCCTATAAGGTTAAGTTAACTGCAATCTAGTCAACTAAATACCTCCACAACCTCAACAGAAAAATCACTAAGGTTAAATCCCAATCGCATTGGAAACAAAACAGCTTCTTCACACACTCACCGTTTTCTACGAGTTTCCAACTCAGACTTCCACCTGAAGACAAACCTTACCGAGTTCACATCAATGGGTAATGCGGCTCTCTCAAGTTCAAATAATAGTCTGAGATAATATGCGTGAGACCACGAATGATAAAGAGTCGTTTCTCCCTGCGATTCATTTTTGGATTCTACGAATTTATTCCAAACGCCTCGAAAGATCTACATTATAAATTTTAAAACTCGTGTGCGAGGATGGTGACTTCTACTTCAAAATCCTCCCCAGTATGTTTCCGTCCTATGCACACCTAGTAGAACATTTGGTCCAGCTTTAAATTTACCGACTAGGTTTCCTTTCATACGAAAGCGCGCAGCTTTACCAGTTTCGCCAATATATTCATTCCCACATGGCTTATATCAGATTAGAAAAACCGGATCCGAACTCAATCACCGTCTTCACCGTCAAGGAATATCATGTTGTTTAGTGATGTGCATACAGAGCCACACAAGTTGCTAAGAGCCAGTTGGTGTTCAAGAGTGTTCGGTAGTATTTCAGTCATTGCTTTGAATTCTCAAGACCGGTCCTTGTTAACTCACGTTCAATACCCGTACTCATTTCGTGAGATGAACTAAGAACACCTGACTCCGTGTCCACCTATTCGACTCAACGACTCTCTCTGCCTTAACGTATGCGTCAGAAACCTCGTCGCTATGTATGCAGGATGAAACGTCAATGAGCTTATAAAATGCGTCGTCCAAAGCACGATCCTAGCAGTATCTCGTCTCACGCAAGTGAGAGAACGGTTCCGGAAATCCGATCTACGTCAGCGATCAAAAATGAAACACGCCTTTCAATATTCCGAACCGTTGAAGATAAGGTGGGCCGAAAACGTAATGCGTGTGAATGACAACCAACGGACACGAGCCCTCAGTGACTGGATTCCTCCGGATGTAAATCGGACAGCAGGAAGACCACTGACCCAATGGTCAGAATTCTTCGCGAAAACTCTAGAAGGAAAAGAACTACTCTTGCAGTAAGATGAAGAACTGGAAGGTTTGTTGGCACCCGCTCGAGTCACTCAACGATCAATGAGACGACAGCTTTACAGGCGATACCTTACTTCGTTAGAAATGCAAGCCTCCTCACACTCCTCGTTGCTTTTAAGCGAGCGAAAACCCATTGACTACCTCTAACAAGGATGAAGTGCTTCAGCACTGCCCATTCAAGTCGGCACGATTATCTGGGGTATTACTGGCGACAGAACGCGTGTAGTGGTTAGGTGTACCCTGCATTACGTATGGGTTCGATTCTGTGCCTTACGCTCACCAAGCCTTTCACTTTTTCAGTTTGGCGAATTGGTACCAGATCCGTCTTTGAGGATAGCAGCACCGACTCGATATAACGTATGCTCCCACGAGTCATTGTTTGTGCCAAATATGCATTCAATCACCACTAAAGAGGCTTGATGAAGTTTAGCTTTATCCATTTATTACAACTTGTTACACAAGTGATGTACAACCTCTTTAGAAGGAATACTGTTCACTTCAAGATTTTCCATTCAGGACCTCATAAAGTACACAAATTTTATGTAATAAATAAATAAATATGTGCGAAAAAACATCGCTCAAAGTTTTGAGATATTAATAGAGATAAAAAGGGCACAAAAAAGTAATGAACAAACAGATGTAAACTTGCTTCAAGGATTCTATTCAAAAATTTACGTCGACCGGCCATCTTTTTCTGCTCAAAATAAGCTGCTAATGGTCGACCAGCCAACATTACAGGAATACAGCACACAGCAGTGAAAAGCAAACATTTTTCAACAAACACCTAAAAGCTTTCTTGTTAAACAAATAATCATAGAAACAAGAAAAAAGAAAACTATATAGAAAATCTCCAAGATCGACTTTCTGTTAGACTTGGTATCGATGAGTAAGCCACTGTTTTTTTTTGATAGGCATAAATAAGGTTGCTATTATACTACTTATCAATACGAGGAAGGACTATTCCTCGCGGAAGTTCTACGGATTCCTCTTTCTGCTCTCTTCCAACACAAACAACTGTGGCTGTTGGACACATGTTTTCCATAAGCGTTGTCTTTGTGCTTAAAGGGATTAATAGTTGAAAGAACTTGAAAAGGATTTGTATAACTTAGGAATAAAAGAGGGCGTGTGGCGTAGTGGGCGGAGGCGCCCTGTAACACACAAGGGATCGATCCCTGCACCCGCGACTCACCAAGCCTTTCATCCCTCTGGGATCGGCAAATTGGTACTACACTTGTCTGGGTGGATAGCAGCACTAAGCTGGATACATTAGTAAGCCACCGCGAGTCACTGTAAAGACCAACGATGCTTAATGAAGTCGAATGCATGGCGTATCCTTCAAGGATTGATGAACGCCCAGAGTTTTATCTTTTTTATCCTTTATAACTTGGGCACCTTGGTTTCTGTGTTCATGTTATGGAGGCACTTCCCTGACTGGGTCCCAGTTAACTTAATCCTTCGACGGTCTGAAGAAGGCAAAATCCAGCGAAAAGTTAGCTACTATTACTAAAAAGTAAGAACCGTTTCGGGTGTGCTCATCAAGAATAAAGCGTTTTTCAAAGTGAAAACGTTGTCAAAAGCACCAACTGAGAAGAAACATAGAACTTTGCAATACAAGTTATGTTTTAACGAAGTCAAAAAATACATTAACTAAAAAAGCACACTGAGAATAAACCGGAAAAAGTAAAAGAAAAACAGAAAAGAAAACATTTTCCACAATTCTTGTTAGAAAATGACGAGGTGTACATGAGACATCAAAATCAGATAGCCATATAAGTAGCAAACCTGGTCAGGATACCACTGATTCAGGTAGCACGTTTGATGATGAGTAGTTCCGTTCTGTTCAGTCATATATCCCACGGGCCGTTCCTTGAGCATAAGCATATTAATAAGTCCTATCAATAATGAAGGAGCGCAATAGGATCCTGAAACTCATGCCATTTAATCGCGAGAAATTCAAGCTGACCACAAAATTTAAAAGTGGAAAAACAACAGAAAATGGATATAGAAGAGAAAGAAATTTAGGAGACACCATAAAACCCACCCGGGTAATCCATCCCGAGTATAGACCCTTTCCCAACTGAAAAGAGCAGCCACTTAGCTACCATCTGCACACAAAGGTATATAAAAATACAACCAAGGAAAACCATTTGAGGAATGAAGTTTGTGAGCACGTCCACCTTGGAATTGAAAAATCTAAATGCAGACTGTATTTGAACAAGATTCACCTGCGATGATAGCCACATGAAGCCAATGACCATAACAAACAAAGTTGTGACAGCAGAATAAAAAAAGGAATAAAAGGAAAGAACATAGTAAAAGGACAGAAAAAATAAAGCTCCCAACGTTGATCAATCCTTGAGAGATGTGCAACAAAAATATAGTGCAACACAATAAATATAACAATGTAATATAACATGAAAATATAATAGAAGGTTGAAATAACACTAACACAAGATGAAAAGACTTTACTGTAGCACATTTCTGATCAAAACTAGAATCTGATAAAAGAGAACCTGCTCGTGCTTTCACAGGAAAACAAGCTATTTTATAAATGAACAAATTCTCACCCATTTTCTCCTTACAATTTTAAGATAAAGCTAATAAATAATAAAGCTACCCACATATGATTTAGAAGTGATAGGAATACACCGAATGTCATTTGAAGCACTCCAATTATGACAGAGATCTTCATCTTCATAGAATTCAAGAAAGCAAGTCGGTTGTCAGCAATGTTCCAAATCGGATCGACTCCAAATGGATACGGACCACGCTGTAAATTTTTTTAGCATGTGAGAATATACATTTTATTAAGTTCCGCAGAGAAATCCTTCTCATCAAGCATGATGCACAAGTGTAACTAACGTCTTTCATATAGGCTACGGCTGGATCCAGGGTCACTGTGGTGAGCTTCAGTTCTCGAAGGTCGGATTTCGGATGGATCCAAGAAGCGATTTGAGACCGACTAAAAACGGAAGAACGATACAAGAACTGGGGCGCACAAATTAATAATTTAACAACTCACTTGTAAGGATTTACCCAAGAGCTTCCGAAAACGTTAAACGATTTTGCAAATGCATCATTATATAGAGCACCTGTGTAGATAGAAAATAGCCCCATTAAGACAATAATATATCGACCCCCAAAGAACGTGTTGAACACCTGAAAACCGTGCTCTTTGAAACAAACTGTGAAGAGTGCGGGTTCATCAACCGCACAGGGACGCGCCACATATCCTACTTCATTAAGCCGCTAAGAAATAACTGAGAAAAGTTGATGATTCACATCGAATTCGAAGAAAAAACTGCACATTTGCCCCAGTCCAAACAAATATCGTTCCAACTCTCTAACCAAGGAAAAATTCCAGGGCTTTGAATATCAGGGTACAGACCGAACCAACGACTACGCATAGATTGCAATGAGCCTCAAATCACTGAACCACACTGACTGCGACATACGTTATAGAAAAGATTATTGCAAGAATAAAGAGTAAATTTAAAAAATGAAAGCAAAAAATTGGTACCTCATCACGCACTCTTCGCTCAACGATTTTCTTTTCGTTTAAAATAAAAAATAACCCTGAAATCATACAAATACAACAGAAAGGCTTCCCACAACGCCACTGAAATAAATTAAAGCTAAAAAATACTTCCAACAAACATGATATCTACAACTTACCTATTAAAAATAATATCAAACCATGTGCAACATCACCAAACATGACAGAAAACAAAAAAGGAAATGTGATGATCGTATAAGGTGCTGAAATCCACCAGACATTACTTCAACAGTAAGAATTCTCAAAAGACCGACTTTCTATGAACCTTTCGGCATAAATAATCGAAATGTTCATTTATATGCTATTAAGAATTGATCTTGTTGAACTGATGCAAGGTTGGTATGGTTTTCATCATAGTTGCTGTTGTAGTCGTTGCTGTTGCTGTTGTTGGTCCCACACGCAACACCACGGCTCTGAGAAAGGCGAAATCGCCGAGAAGTGAGCCATCGACCAACAACAACAATACCAACCCTGCTTCAGTTGGTTCTAAAAGAACAATGTCAGTCGCAAAAAAACCTACCAGGATTGATCTCTCGATAACTTGCCACCCCATACGAATCCACTATCGACTGAAAAACGGATGTAAACTTGTTGGTGCGATGATATGTCGGTGGACTGGTCAACGGAGTTATCACATTCAATATCGGAGACACATCACAACCACTGGCTTTCTGAATAGAAGATACATGATGATCTAAAAGAAATTGTCTTTTCTACCCACCACACGGCTCATTTGAAAACTGTAGTAAAATAAAAGATGGAAATAATAAAACAAGTGCCAAGTCCCAAGCAAAACGAACTATTCCTTCAAGCAAAGCAAAATGAACGGTGTCCATTTCGTTTTCAGGAATCCAACACTGAGCAGCCAAAAAGCCATTAGTGTCAACCTGCATATGTACACTAACAATTACACAACATCGTAAAGTAAAGTACGGTAAATGCAAAAGTAGGAATGAATTTACAAACATACCGTAAACAAATACCGTAAGCAAACACCTACCGTAAACATATTGAGAGTGCTGTAGATCGCTTTTTGGAGGTGAACTTTCTTAAACCACAATGGAAGATCTTTAGCGACCTCTGTCAGAATCTGCACAATAAGTCATGTTTTGAAACGAAAGATTGTGAATATATATTGACAAATAGAACAAATATTAAATCATGATCGTCATATGTATGGAAAAAGGGATAGAGAGAGAGCCATTACAACGCAAACATTAGGGAACAATGAAAGAGACAGAAAAGCAGCCACAGACGGTAACAGCAAAACCACATTGATGAAGCTGAGCACTATTTCACTGTAATGAACAACCAACTGGCATCGTAGTCCCCGTTCAAAGCAAAGGTTTACACGTTTGCATGGTTTTGCCAATGAATCTGAAGAACGGCTTGAAGGAACGTTTTGACAAAAGATGAAAAGAATTGTTATCCAACTGTCGTCCCCACTCAATTCTTTATTTCTTAAGTGACGACTTAGTAAAATCAAACCATTTGAATGGTGATGATGACAAAAGAAGCGCACCTAGAGCAAAAGTTAAAGCGAATCCACATTATTCGTAAATACATGTGCTCCAAGTTCGTAGCCATGGATTTAACACCACTTGAAAAATACTTTGAAAATAATTTTCTTCTCTCAAAAGAATTGTGCGCCCTCCAATTGGTCCTTCGTTCGAAGTCTTCAAGGGAAGAACAAGTGCAGCATAGGAAAATACCCCGCTCTCCAGGTTGCCTTGCCTTCGCCACAGAAGCTGAGAAATTTGATATTTCCGTCCAGAAGTTTGTTTGGAACTAAATATATATATACGCGAGGAATTGGAGAAGCAGCAGGAACAAACTCAATCACAAAGAAGTAAAATCCAATACGATCCATAAAGATGAAATTTAACTCCGGAATGGACCTAGAAATGGTCCAGCAAGATCATCTTAGAGTCCCAGAAATCTTGCTCAAGAGTAGAATATCAGTAAAATAGAATTTTTGTTGGTTCTCGCATGACTGTTAGTGGACACTAGATATCTAGGGATCTAAGCGCCCCTGTGATCAACTAATAGGCTAGAATTTAATGTTCTTGAAAAAAAACGTACTTCGAAACGATGCTTCTGAGTACTGTCAATGACAATCTTAAGATCGTGAATTCGAGCAATTGTTTCGAACAGCGCAGACTGTCGTTCTTTCGACGTCTTTGGACACGGGTACTGCCTTGCGTTGAACCTAAAGTAATAAACCTAAGCTATAAGGAACATTTTTTAGCGAATCAGTGACATAAAAAGTGAGCAGTATCAATGCTTACCCATCGCAGACCTTGTCGATTATCAACTTAAGACTCTCTCCTTTAAAAAACACGATAAAAACACATTTTACAATAGGTGCAAGCTGAAATAAAATGTTCTTGGAAATCGTTCTCCAATAGAAAAGCTTGTTTATCTAACCGTATTTTATTCAATAGACAGACTACCTAAACTATGATATCGAACAAAACATAAAGAATTTCTGAAATACTAACTGTCACAGGATCTTCTAAGGTGAGAGTGATGTCGCTCATTCGAACAAACGCGGTTCGTCTACAGGCTCTCCAGAGAATTCTCTCAAAGGTGTTCTTCTTATCTAACGGAATAACTCCAGCCACAAACCTGAAAACAGCACCAACTCATCGTCCAATTCCCACCTATAATTCCAATGTCAATTGCTCGTTGGTATTGGTTAAGATAAAGAGCCCGTCTTACTTACCATGCATTATCACCTTTCTCATCATTTAGCAAGGGAGTGAGAGGAACATCATTCTGACTGCAAATAAGACCACCAGAGCTGACAGATTTTGGCAGTCCATCCTGCTTAAACAACTTCAGAGTATGTATTAAGGAAAAACTGTTACAGCGCCTTTGGAACGACCTTTTGAACAAGTCCCCAGATGTTAAAATTCCAAATTGATGGCGAAAAAGTGCTTGTAAAACATCACAGACCTCCAAGAACTGTGCATTCCAACCAAGATTGCAAAGGGTAAGCTTCGTTCAAGATCATCAAATATCGAAAAGAAACAGAAATGAAAGGTAAACAAAAAGGAACCTCTTTCTCTGGAGCTTCAATGTTGATTATCGCTTCGTCTTCCATGTGCTAAAGCTGGTGGTCATAAGAATAGCACATTTCATAAGGACAAAACTGACGACAGAAATCTGATCAGTCTCCTTACCACTTCAAAAAACTGCTCAACTCGTTGCAAGACATATTCGAATTCTCTCATTTCATTCAAGTTTTTCCTGATGTAGCTATCGTTCTTGTTCAATTCGACAAAGTCCCGCTCTAGTTCACTCAACTCGGTCTAAACAAATTCAGAATAGCGATAGTTCCTAGGATCGACTTTTTACTCAAATAGTGATGAATTTCACAGCCACACGTACGCAGGCACAACTAATGGAGAAATATCTCAAACCCAAAAGTGTTCTTAAAAATCTAAACGCAATCACTTTATCCCTTAACACTACGAGTCAATAATTTTCCATGTAATTTTCCGGCTTTTGTACAAATGAAGTGATCCATATAGGAAGCCTCTTTCCAAATTCGTATACATAAAGTATGGTAATAGCTATGTCATATTTTCAACAAGCAAGAGAACTTCTAGCAACTTGGCCATTTGAAAAATCAACCGCGATGCAACTCCAACTAGCATTGAACTCAAAACTCGTATTAAGTCCTACGAAACCGTTTCTTCACTCCTAGTTTAGTCCAAGATTTACTTTCTAAAAAAAGGAAAAAAAAGATAATTTAACCTCTAGGTGATTTATTTCGTAGTGTGATGGCGTCTCAATGATGGTCGCATCAATCCGCAGAAGCTCAATTCCCTGAACACACTCCACTACTTGCCGCTCTAAGAACCCTGAAGTGATCGATCCAGACTTCAAAGTTTGAATCATTGTAGATTTTACCGTATTACTAATGTTTATTTGTTAAGTGCAACTTAGATTCCTTTCTGTAAAACGTAGATAGGACACAAAAGTAGCCCCAAATTCTTCATAGTATAATCTATCGTCCCGGGATAACTTTGGGAACAGAATCAATAGATAACATAATACAACACTACAAAACAGATGAAAAGGAAACTTTTTCTTCCGAAAAGGAAAAAAGGAAACTCACTTAGTTTTCTCTCAAGTTCCTCGCAACGCCGTACCTCTCTGACAAATGTCCGTTGAAAAATGTTTTTATTTGCATTTAACTGAAAAAAACCGCTGTTGATTACAACGAAGAAAATAGTGGTTCTTCCAAAACATCAAAGAAGCAAACTATAACGGAAGTCAAAAGAATGGAAACCAAAACTGTTTCACCGTACTCACACAACTCGTTTTACTCAGTGATCTTCAAAGAATGTGGACCTCTTTTCTCCTAAACATTGAAGCAGAGAGATTCCACTCTTAACAGTGCCTTATATTTTTTTACAGCATCGCTTGCCTAGAGGAAAAGCTACTTAAGACACCTCGGATTCATGGAAAAATAGGCCAACTACATCCAACCGCTGAAATTTTGCCATAATAAAACGACAAAGCTCTCGGCGTTGACCAATCCCTGAGAGATTCGCCATGCATTCGACCTCCTTGAGCATCGTTGGAGGTCACTTAGTGCATATCTAGACTTTACAATGACTCGCGGTGGCCTACCGATGTATCGAGTCAGGGCTGCTATCCTCCCAGACCTGTCTGGTACCAACTTGTCGACCCCAAAGGGATTGAAGGCTTGGTGAGCTTTGGGCGCGGGCATCGATCTCATGTGTACTGCAGGGCGCTTCTGACCACTGCATTACACGCGCTCTTTCTGTTATAATATATCTCTTAAAAAGAACTTTCCTGGTACTGAGAATGAAACCTAGCCGAAAGTGCTAGGAGCTACATGTTGTATACATTAACATCACGCCACAATCTATTAGACTTGTAACACTAATGAATACGAAAGAAAATAAACAATATGCCCATCTTATATTCCCTCAAAAAGAAGTATTCTCAAAGTTGTGTAACTCACTCTAAAAGTCAAGACAGTTGTAGCGGTAAACAATAACACTGATAAGGTATAAGATTTGCTAACTAACATCATTGAACTGAACGTTGCCATACTTTCCTAATTCTCCAACACAATTGTAAGCGGCATCCTTGACTAAGATCATTTCGCAGAGCTTCATCGGCTCGCTCCTATACAACGAGCCCATTGCTAGATTAGATGGCCTTGTCGATGGAATATTTGGGCACAACGGTGACCGCTGAAACGTTCTGAATGAACATCCTTCATGAAGAAATTCATAAGTGAAAACCGAAGTTATTAGTAAAATAATGTAAAGTAGATATAAAGTTTAACTTTACGCTCAGGGTTAGGCTTAGCTGAATAACTCTTGCTAGTGGTTATTCATTAACAAATCCGCGACGTTATGAGTGATTCCATTCATCGCTGAGCGAATACAAGTTGGCTTCTCTACTTTAAAGAAACATACTTTAACATGTATGGACCTTATAAATTGAAGCACAAGAAAACCCACAAGGATCTAGCGACCTTTGTCAACAAGAAACAAATTCTGCTACAACTTATACCGAACTTCCCTCACTAGAATACAAATCTATACATTTTTGTCAACAAAAAGAAGTCGTATTAGGGTAGTAGAATGCCAATATGAAATCTGGTTTGAAAGCGACGACTAGTGCAACAGCTGATGAGCATCAACTCGGGCCAATACAGTGAAATTTCGCAATAACAACCGTTGCATGGGAACATGGTTCCTAGACTACCGAGAATTCGACAAGAAAGGACCATATTTGGATGATTTTCGGACAGACCCTTATCTAAACTCGATCGTAAAATAACCAATTTGTTTAAATTGTTGAGCCTAGACAAGGTTGACAAAAAATTTATTCGGCTAACCTCTCGACGTTTTCGTCTTCATCAGAGGACACGAATTGATCGTTATGAAGACAAAGACGTCGAAACATTAACCGAATAAAACAACTAGATCAAGATATGAAGTATAAATCCAACCTTTTCTATGTAAACACTTGTACAAGGCGGAAATAGCTCAGAGACGTTGATCAAGTCCGGACGACCACAACTGCGCTGAACCTCGCAAGGTGATTTTGAGTAGCTTGATCTTGAAGAAGCCTCTAGAAGAAAGTTATTGACCCTAGTGCAAGCTAATAAGGAACATGTAAAAAAGGTGTAAAAATCCGCCCTATAGGACTTTGTGGGTAAAAAGCAAAGTATGACACCATGACACCATACTCCCATATCAAAAGATCCACCTAAGAAAGAAAAATGAATGAAACTTGCTATAAGTTTAACCTTAAAACGATCGATATGTAAGTACATTTGAAGCAACGAATACAAATAGAACAATCTTTCAAAAGAAAATCCCACTGAAAGCAAAAGTTATGCCCTCGGACCCTGCTGAATGGTAAAGATGAAGCCCGTAGGTATTGATTTTCAAACATTAGTAGTTAAATCCTCTAATTCTCATAGAACACTAGATGCACTAACCTTTGATTTGTCGTGGAATCCGACTTAAGAGTGTGATTAAGCGAAGCCACACTAAAGCCACACGTCCACGATTGTGAAACTAAAGAAGCAGCTTCACAACATAGACCGAACTAAAGACTAACATGAAAGCACTCTTTATTAGCCGCTTATGCAAAAGAAAACCCATAACAAAATGAGAAACGCCTTTCAGAGATGACCTAACACGTTCCATAAGTCACTAAACAGTCGCTCCTTCACCTAAGAGAATACCATCAATGGGAGGCATTTAAACCTTAAGTGGCACCTAATCGGATCAGAGTAAGATACACAACTTGATGTTAAACTGGTGTAGGGACTCTCGGCGATCAATAGTTGATCCAAAAAAGATAAACATCTTAAGAAACGTCCGGCCGCACTCATCTATTAATCAAGACGTCATTGTCAATGATATGTCACAATTACTGCGGAAGAGAAACTATGGTATCGTCGATAGGAAACGTGTTTCCAGAAAGTGGACACAAGCCAGACACAACTAACCACTTGTGTTGTAGCGAAGTAGAGGAATTAGAATCTTAACAATAAGTGGTATGAAGCCCATCCAAAGGATTGAAAGTGACTGACGAAGAATAGAAACACGACAAGCAATCACCGCTGTTTCTCCGATATCATTGAGACAATGGGAACATACTTTACGCCCAGAGAACGGAATGTACAAGGACATCGCTCGAAACACAGTCAGTCGGCGATGCACAGTAGTTCATCACCTCGTACACTACTAGATTCTTTAAGGTCTCTGAAGAAATGAGAGAAAAGTAAAGCCATGAAGAAATCTATTCAATTCGATGGCATGCTTTGAACAAATTAGTCGAGAAGTGAAATCATTCTTTCATTGAAATTTCAGTATTCCTCGATGGCTACAGAGTTGTAGAGAGGATCTGAAAGAAAGGCAAAAGGTAGAACTGAAGAACGAAGGAGGATTACCCCCCAATTTTGTACACGTTTCCATCTGTCAGACTGCTTCACACAGCTGTTAACTACCGATAGATAGAGTAATTTAATGAGTTTTAGGCAACCGAAGTTCGTTAAACTCGTACTAGTATTAAACGACTGAAGGACTAGGTTTCTCACGTGAAACCTAAAGGTAATAATAAATGTGGGCAAAGTTCAAAACAGAAATCAGGTATGAAATCAGCTCACTCGGCAATCCGTGTAGAAATGTAGATAGCCTTGACTGTTGTCGCTGGAAAAAGGAACTTTTTTCAAGACATTTCCAAAGAATGTTCAGAATTTGTTTAAATCCTAGCGCGCAATGTTTAGAAATCGGCAAGAAAGACCCTTAAGCAGGCTACCTAACAACCTAGTCAACGTCGATATAGGGTGAAGAACGTGCTTTACAATGTAGAGGCAACCGACTATTATTGTTTTACTATAACACAATAAAGGAACAACCACCACAGTTTCCAAAGTCTTTTCATCTACCACTAGTCTTTGGCAATTGGAATAAGGTTACATTTATCACTGAATCATATCAAAATGTAGAGTCTAGGTAGGGAAACTCTTAGCTTCCACCTTTCTTTCCTAAGGAAACTCTTTGTTTCTGCTTTTCTTTCCTAGTGAAACTCTTCGTTTCTAGTTATCTTTTTTACCTTTCTTTTTCCTACTCTTTCGTTTTACCTTTTTACCTTTCCTACCACCTACCTGTTCCTGCTGTATGTTAAACAACATAGAAATAGTGTAGGGAAACTACAATTAGATACATATCAAAACATCAAGGATATCTCGAGCAATCCAGTGAGTTGATGGATATATGTGGCATTTAAAAGATGATGTCATCTAGTTCGAGAGGTCACGAGGTCATCTCTATATAATATTATTAACTTAAGAAACCTACGCCGTCAACTCTAGAGAGGTAGGGGTACTCTGAGCCGACAAGGGAGGAAATGTTGAAGAGCGAGGACATCTCGTGGATAGTCTGGAATAATAAGAAACCGAAAATAAGGATACTCTTGAACACAGAGGGTTTCTAAGGCGTACGGTGTTTGGTGCTGAACAGTGTATTGCTGGCGGGGTGTTGAAGTACGGAACGAGTGCCGACTGCATTCATCACCAGACAAAGATTGAGAAAATCGGTGTTTCGAGCTGAAAGTCATACCCTTGATCCGAGGAGAAGATAAGGAAATAAGGAAGAAGTAGCAGAAATAGCTTAAAAATAAGACCTTGTGGTAGCAGAATCCTCATCATCCTCAGGAATCGGTGAGCATGTAAGGTTCTCAAACGCGTGACTGCAACGCCATTTGTCTTCTCCATGCCTTAACATCCTAACGCTTCTGACAACCTTCCTCTTAGCTAAGGTAGAGTGATGGATTGGGCGAATTCTGAAACCATTTACCTATGGCAGGTCGAAAGTAACAAATACATCATTAGCGTGATGATGGTACTGGTAGACAGAAAACTAGCTAAGAGAAAGGCGAAATGAAAGACCGGAATGGTGGACGCGCTAGCCACGGAAAGGATACCAGCGTGTTCCTCTAGCAAATCTCTCAGCAGCATTGTGGCTGTATTTCACATTACACCCTACCGGGAAAAATCGTATTAGCCAGTAAATAAAAAATTTACATCACTAATCTTTAAAACAAAGAACGAAAGCTCGTGCTATTCCGGTTACCGTAATCTAAAGGTCCGCTTCTCAAAGTTTACTTTGAACGTCTAGCACTTTACGGACCATTAAATATTGCGTGCTTCGCTAGAGCACTAATAACTTACATTTCTGGAAAGATGGAACTGTGAAGATTTGTTCGATGTCGAACTTGTGGGAAACATACAGCGCAGTGGTTATGGGTGCCACACAATTCAAACATCGTCTTTGGTTCAACCTCCCGTCTTGAAAAAACCTGGTCTTCTAGCCCTCGAAGGTCCGCTGCTGCTCGTAGCAGATTTCTCTGGGATAAAAAAGATATAACGTATTTCATCAGCAGACTCTGCAAGAATTTTTATCTGCCGAATATGCCTTGACGATGCTTAGTGGAATGGAATGCATGGAGCGGGGACCACCCTGGCATTGATCAAAGCCGGATAGGGGATAAAGGGTAAAGATCTCGGTGTTTATCTATCATTGAGGGGTGCACCATGCATTCGACTTCATCAAGCATCGTTAAAGGCGATTCAATGGATATCTGGCCTTTACAATGACTCGTAGTGGCCTACCGATCTATGGACTCAGAGCTACTATTCTTCCAGTCAACTTTGGTACCGATTGAACGACCCCAGAGGGATGGAAGACTTGGTGAGCATGGAGCGCGGGGATCGATCCCATATGTATTACAGGGCGTCTCCGACCACTGCGCTGCACTTGCTCCTTCCTCTTTTGGATTTGACGGATCGGCAGATTTCCAGAATATTTAAGAAATCTTTGAGCATTATACACGCAAATTGCAATGAAGCCGGACTATCCGCGTCCACTTCGATGACTCAAAACTGCCTCGTTAGGGACTTGAAAAGAACTACCATTGTTCTGCTATTCCACCCAGTTCTCGTTTTCAGTATTTCGTAAACATCAGAGGCATATCTTTTGCTCTATCCTCTTCCTTATTTCGTTATCTCTTCATCAAAATAAAACCTGCAGAAGGCCTATTCGTCTACAGTGATGTTCTTCCCTTATTCTTCAAACGTTGAGAAAGGCGTTATGCACTTTTATATAAACATAGACATCGTGAGTTCAATCCTTGCTGGCAGCTCCACTTTCTAATTGAAATTGCACATATTCATGTATTTATTTGCAAAACCTCAAAATCGAAATAGAAAGCTAAAAGGCTCTCGGCGTTGATCAATCCCTGAGGTATGCGCCATGCATCCTACTTCATTAGCATCGTTTGGAGGTGATTGAATGCATATCTGACCTTTACAATGACTAGCGTTGGCCTAACGATGTATCGAATCAGTGCTGTTATCCTCCCAGACGGGTCGGCTACCATTCGCCGACCCCGGAGGGATAGAGGGCTTGGTGGGCATGGGGTGCTGAATCGATTCGATGTGTATTTCAATGCGCCTCAAAACACAGCGCTACACGCTCCCAAAGTCGAACTATCAGCGTGTATATATAAGATCTATAATCTATATACCTATAAATATCTAAAGTAAATATCTCAAAATAGGCAAGATATTCGTTCTAAAGTGATATTGAGGAGAAAGGGAATTGAGGAGAAAATAAGCTTATGTGGATAATGTTCCTAGAGTGGTGAAAGTCGCTTCTGATCAAACGACTTTCGTTCTTATAGTAGCCAAGCATTGTCTGAGACCAGACGACGACGAAGAAGAGGAAGACGTCGGAACGTTTGCGGAATAAAGATTGCTTAACAATTTCGGGTCAGCTGAGCAATATAGACAAATATATTGTCCGATTTCCAAATTTAAATTGTGCCGAGTTGAAGAGGATCCGTTTCGATACGACACCACATCAAGAGACGAACAACTTTGGACCACCGACTTGGATCATCGGCTCCGATGAAGACGAAGACGTCGAAACGTAAGCGGAATAAACTTCTCATAACAATCTCGTGTAAATACCGAGGTTAAAGGAAAGTCAGTTTTGAAGCGTTTTCGAAGGAGGTATGTGACGTTGGGCTGAAACAATACAAATCAATACCTAGTGCATCAACGTTCGACTAAAAATCGACCTTTTGCGCTAAGGATCATTGGCAGTGCTTTTCGACCGAGATCGCTGATTTTGCACTTGTGTTCTAGAACCGAAACTGATCAATGTAGAACGCCCGAGCACCACTGACTCAAATGAATCCGGCTGTGAAGAAGATGAAGACATCGAGAAGTTAGAAAACGAAGAAGCCGATTAGAATTTTTCCTTCAACCTCGTGCTAGCTTATCAGTGAAAAGATTCAGTATAGAGAGTTTCTGCAGTCAATATCATCTCTTGTAAGAAACCAATGAAGATAACGTACTTTGCTTCGTCTTATTGCTTCTTCAGTACCTTCACTCTCCTTTGAGAATCCCGTACTCACCGAAACCGGAGGCTTATCAGATGCTGCTATTGTGCTTACATTATATCCCAATTGTATTTCGATGTAACTCAGTTCCTACTGTATTATAGCAAAAACTCGATGTACGCGATATTTGAGCTGTGGTCGCTCTTCAATGTAGCTACAGTGCAAAAAAATTTGCTCCACTCAAGCCAGAGAACTTTTTGACCTTACCTGTGATGGTCTGACGCTTCGTTACAAAGTTGTTCTTTCTCTAGGTCTTTGCTCTTACCATTCTGAATGTAATAATCTATGAGTTTGTTTGATATTACACTTATATTCACTTTCAAATTTTCCAGCATTTTGCTGCTAAGGAAACGGGCGCAGATGGCGCAGTGGTCGGAGGCGCCTTGCAGTACACATGGGTTGGATCCTGCACCCAGACTAACCAAGCTCTCCATCTCTCCGGATTCGGCATTGGTACCAGACTCGTTTGCGACCATACCAGAATTGGCTCGATTCATCGATACGCCAGAACGAATAATTGTAAAGGCCAGATGTGCCTCTCACCTCTAACGATGCTTAATGAAGTCGAATGCATGGCGCATCCCTCAGAGATTGATCGACGCCGAGAGCTGCATCCTATTTATCCTTTTATTGCCGCCGGACTTCTTTCTAATGTTTATTCCGACCAGGTTTCATATATGCATCAACTTTTGAGAGTAATCATCTGAATATTCTACAGGTTCAACACCATCATCGTCTTTTGGTAAGATATTCTTCTCAGTGGCTTAAAGGATAAAGCTTTCGGCATTAATTAATTCCTGAGGGATGCACCATGCGTTCGACTTCGGTGAGCATCGTTTGAGGTGATTGAATGCATATCTGGCCTTTACAATGACTTGCGGTGGCCTACCGATGCATCGAGCCAGTGCTGCTATCCTCCCGGACAAGTCGGGTACTAATTTGCCGACCCCGGAGGGATGGGAAGCTTGGTGGGCCATGGACACGGAGATCGATCCCATGTGTGTTGCTGTGCGCCTCCGACTAGTGCGCAACACTCGCCACATTGGTGGTTCGCTGGCTTGGGCTTGCTAATTTAACCAAGATATGTACGTGCTGTCGATTCTTTTTTCTTTTTAGATTGATTACCTTTGGTATTTCATGTGATCACCAGTGTCGAGAAGCATTCGATGGTCGACAAGTACTCTCTGGATGTTCTCCATGATGGTTTATGTCCAAAAACAGAGGCAAGTTCTTTTTGTGTAGTTAACATTGTTCAGCACTGCGATTCGTTGGAATCTAGGGATCGCTGGCTTAAAGTGTCCACAAATGTGTAGACCCATGTGAAGTCCTTGTACTCCAGTATGTTGCAGTACATCTCTTCAGAAATGGTCCGTACGTGTTTCAATCCAGATCTCGTACTTGATATGTTTGAACTAATTTTCCAGTCACGAAATCGTTCTCCAGAAGATAAATTGATGTATTCCCTTGGAACTTGATCATAGGGAGGAAGCAGGCTTCTCTCTGATTTAGATGTTTTTGTTTGTCGACCAACGTAAAAATTATTATATTTGACGGTTTCCACCAGGGAGTTTGGTTTCTTTTGAACCGTAATGTAGGAGAAAATAGTAGTAACTGAACCTTATTCTACACTACTTTTCTACCCAATCATCTTTTAATGGCAGTTACTTAATGTAAAGTCGATCAATCAAATTTTAATTACAATCGTAATCACCGAAGCCGTTTGAAGAGTAAGCGTTTGTAAAAAGTTTTGTAAAAAGAGTAGCGAACGTTGCTGATATTTGTTGTTAGCTCACGTTTACGTGGAAATTTGGTCCACAGGTCTTGGAAAGTCTTGTTCTTGGAATTCGGAGAGCTACAGCACTGTTTTTCAATAGAGTTTGGCAACGTTTCTTATCCTCATCTCTTCTGCAGGATTACAAAATATTTCACTGTGAGTCATTTTCTCCAATAGATTAAACAGCATTTTGTTTGAATTCGCTAACCACATTCGTTGGTTACTTTTAGTTAAAGATTCCAATTTTTTTTGACATGAACTAGGGAAAGAGCATGACTTAACGATGTGGTTGGATCTCGTGTTAGTTAAGGTTGCGGGCCAATTTGTGAGCAAAAGGGTGTACGACGAGGTTTTCGCCATCGACATTTCATTATGTGATCGTTTCTGTACGAAAAATAAGACTTCTATTATTACCATAATGATGCTGAAGTATTTGCAAAACCCAGACCCTAGGCCAAATTCGAACCAGCGATTACCCTTTCCGGAGTTCACACGTTGCCCACTGACCAGTTACGCCTTTGCTTTGCCTTTCTCTCAGCAAGTTTTTTACCTTGACGCTTCCATCAGCAGTTACTCGTCAACGGGAGTGATCTGGAGAGCACAAATAGACATTGGACCCAGTCAAGGTGAGGCTGAAATGGATGTCATAATGTATTAGTTTTTATTTACTTCCTATTAGTTTTTCGTGGAATGGTATTATTGTGAAAGTGCGACCATAATGATGCTAAGATATTTGCAAAATTCAGATCCTATGAAGAAGTAATAGGCAATAAATAAAAGGTCATCTAATGTGAGTTCTGCTACTAAGTTGGCGCACTTTTATCCCACAATGGCTAAGGTTTGGGCGCATTCTGTCTTCTTCAGAACTCTGTGGGAATCACATTGATACATATTTCATTCTTTTTGAATCAAAATGTCATTCCCACGACCGACTTTCTTTTAACTTTGGCATTGATTAAATAATTCATATATTCATGTTGAGCAAACACGAAGTGTTACTTCATTCTTTATTCCGGTTAGGCTAACATCTCGGTGGATTTCACCTTCCTCAGAGCCACTTTCTATGAGTTTTCCACTGAATATGTCACTCACGTGAAGACCACACGAGGAAACCTAAATTCGACAAAATGTCATCTTAACCGGAATAAAGAGTCAAAATTTCATATTTATTAGCTAGGAGTCTCTGTACGAAAGGGAAACATGTGCACCAATGGTTTATTTTCATTAAATTTCCATTCAAATTGCAGTCATAATTGTGTCAAGTATTCATGTATGTTCGACTACGTACATTATCTTAAACCAACATCATAAAAGAGACCATAAATCCTAAATCTTCGATCAAAGGACATAATGGTGACTCACTATCTGTTGTCATCCATTCAAGTACGAATAGACATGTACAAAATAAATAGCACTACAAAAAATGATTAGAGGTATTAATATTCGACAATAAATACGAGTTACCCTTGCCATCAGTTCATCTACTGAAACACGCATAGAGAAAGCTATCGTCTTTTGAGATATTCTGACTACATGACTAGTTACAATATAATTGGTATTGATCGATCACACGAAGGCCGTATCGTTCAGGTGGAACACAAACAAATTACAATGAAGGAGAAGGGTCAAACAGTTTCTAAAGACATTAGTACTCACTCGTTTTATACTGTTTTTTCGGTTCTATATTTAATTTCTTTCGTTTTTTTTATTTCTCACATTTGTTTTAGAACATCATTGAGATCTCTAAGGATGTTATTTCGCTATAACGTCAGTTATATCTAACTGACAATAATTTGCACTTGTAGTGGCAGTTATTAAACGTATGATGACGCTTTTGAACAGTAAGAACAGTAAGAGGACTTCCAAAGGTCACATAATAAATCGTAGTAACGGAATGGTAGCGATAGAGGTGAAGAGTGAAACCAGTGAACTGTCGTTACAAAAATCAGATCCTTTACAGAAATATGACTGTCCTGAAATATTAATATCATTAAACCCAAATGATGGATTAGATTATGGGTTAAAGAACCGAACTACACACGTAGCATGTCGTAGTTGAATTGAAGAATCCATTTTTACTCACTTTTAACCGGAAATAGTTGCACTTTTCAACTTTAAACTTGTACTTGTCAGTTCAGAACAAAGAATTATCATTTGAAATGAAGATCGATATAGTCTGAAATACTTTGCGAACATCATCGTGTACCTACACTTCCTTATTATGCTCGTACTTTTATCGTACTCTAACGAAATCCTAATTTCCTTAAGCGATTTCTTTCAGCAAAACACTTTCATGCTTTCAAATCATTCACTGATGTTTACCGCAGCCGTGTTGGCGTTGTAAATCTCGAAAATTTAATTTTTTCCATTTTTTTTTGGAGATTCGGATTCCAATGTACTTCATACCCGGCTCGAAATCTCCTATATGATGAAAATCCGTGGAACTTGAGCAATGTTCTAGAAAACCAACTGCTCAGTGTAACTCTTGATTTTTTTCTAGCCACACTCAACGAAAGATTTATATTTTTTTAAACTCAGAGATGTACTAAGTGAAGAATATCTTTCTAAATGGAGAAGACTAAGGTCAAGAAAAATGAATCAAAGGTATTCATGTAGGAGAAAACGTAATATCATGATTTACCTTTCACTTTTTCCTGATACACCCAGTACAACCCCACGTTAAGTGTGCGAACCTTCATCGAGGCGTCCTCCTCATCATCATTAGTACATCCTTTCACAACCATGTCGTGCTCTATAATGATTCTCTTCTTGATGTTTTTCTTTCACGATGAAAATTTTAAAACATGTTTGCCATCGGAAGTGCTATGCATTGTTTTAGGAACGCAAATATATCTAAACATTACGGAATAGTTTTTTGATATATGGAGTGGGGTCCATAAAAATGACAGGTACAACATCGAATCATCAAATTGGAAGTCTTTTCTCATACTAGTATTGAAACGCTGGAAATTGTCCTATCTAGTCTTAAGGCGAAATTCGACTACCAGTATTAATGTGCTGAGTTACATCATATTTCGAGAATATGGATGCATAAGTATGCCAAGGATGTCACTTAAACATGTTTGCTTGCTAGCCACGGAGCTACAAGGCGCTAACGTTAATGGTTGTGAATAAAGTATAGAAACTGGAAAATTGGAGAATACCAAAACGACCAAATACTTGTGCTGAAGCACACTTCGATCCAGAGAATGAGCTTCCTTTACCTATCTTGCCATATTGTCTCATGCTTTTCCATAGGGCGTAAACAAATTCAATGATGCGTGGGTGGCTATACCTATGTCTATGCGGTATACCTCATGCATGTCACAGTTTGAAGTTAGCATGCAAGTGAATACGAATTGCATAGTTGTCAGACGGAGGTTGATTCTATCAAGAAAAAACTATGCATAATGAGCCTAGTTCTCGTTGACCTATGAGACTCTTCCACATGGCAGCCCTGGTAAGGATGAACACCTGGAAGGACTGTAGTGAATGTCACTACTTATGACGAACGAGGATTCGATCATAAAAGCTTAGAAGACTAAGTACAACGTCTTCGGACTAGCCAAAACAAAAAAAACACTGCTCATTAAGCGTCGTTTATGATAGCGGAGAACTATTCATTGGAACAGATGTAGAAGAGTAGTGTCGTTGTTGATGTTTTCATGAGCACAAACTTGCCATGAACCACAATTGTTTAAGCATCAGCCCTTAATCGTATGTTTACAGTTGAAAATAAGCCTACCGATATAGGGTTTAACATCCTGCATCCCTGCATTATCTACGCTTCAACATCAAGCGACGATAAATGTGGAGCACTTGGTCCTAGTAAGACCTGAACTCGAGTATCTAAAGATCCTACAGTTGTCGTCATTAATTCATTAGCCTGAGTATCATCCGTAAAGCATGATGCCTAGAAGAATGAAGATACGCGTAATCGTTTTACTGCACGTTGAGGAAAACCTTCAGCTTATCGAGAATCATAACTTGATCCCATTGCTGTCCCTCATCTGCAAACTCATTCGAATCAGCATGATCTACACGGTGTGTAAAAAAAATGCAGCCATCTTTGCATCTGGAGTTTTGGGAAGGATTCTCTACAGTAGCTCACATGTCGCCATCCCAATTATCATTCACAAATTGACACAAAATCCTCCGAAACGTTACTATCTGATCAAAATGATTCAGCACTATTCTCAAGAGCGTCTACGGAACTGGAAGATGATAGCATCAGGTGTACTGCGTGTAAGCCAATTTTCATATCGCGTTTCGAATGCCGGACTCCTCAGCAAGGCCATGAAAAAATTATAAACTGCAAAAAATTCATGGAAAACCTTCGAATGCTGTATTTATGTATGTCTGATTCAGGAAATTAAGATGAAAGTTTTAGCACCAGAAGTAAGAAGGATGCAGCGAGGAACGTGGAACACCGTTTTTCTCATTGTGTGTTTCAGGGATATGGCATTTAACAAAAACAACAAGGTTGTGTGGAAGTGTTGCAGGACGTTTACTTACCTGCATCAATGAGCTTGAAGCATGAGCCCTTACAGCAGGTGATACCATGCAAGCAATTCGCCATGTCGCGGCCCATACACGTATAGCAAGCCATTGTTCTGCCATCGGTGTTCAGCGAACAGTTCTTTTCGATAACCTCACCAGAAACCAATGCTGAAGCAGGAAGCGGCGAACACTCAAATATGGTGAGTGAAGCAAAAGCAAATTTTTAGTAGGCAATGAGATTTTTGTTGAGCACATGTCTCACTGGAATTTGCTAATGTTCGGACGTTTTATCGGACCTAGCCTCGACTAGTCAAATTCGAACGGAAAAGGTGTTTAACTTTGTGTGAATGCGTCCCTTTACTTTGACCCATAACTCATCCGTGCCGTTTCTCGTGGCTGGCCTAATCGAATGCCAGCAATTTTTCGTTGGTTTTGAACTTTCTGGTTTGTGACAACAAAAAAGTAGTTTTTCAATAACTAGAGTGCTTTAGGAGTTCTGAATTTTAGAGAATCGTAGAAGAGACTTTGCTCCATTGTTTTATAGGAATGAATGACAGATTATTTAGTGCGTACTGTTATGGTGCATTATGCAAATACATTGCTGCCGCCACTAGACAGTATTGTGCACACTTTTGAGTTTATTTCGGTGTTCCTTATATCCGCATATTGCTTATGTACATGACCGTAGTAATTGAAATGAAATAGAAGTTAATTAAAAGTAAAAGTGAAATAACAGTTGATGAGTGGTTGCTGATGGTACCGTTAGGTATAAAACTAGCTAAGAGAAAGGCAAAGCAACGGTTTCGGTTTGGTGCAGTGGAGAACATGTGAGCCCTCAGAAAGGGTGATTGCGGTTCGATCTGGCCTGGGGTCCAAGTTTTGCAAATATCTCGTCATCATAGTGGCTATATTTCACATCATACGCTGCCGTAAACGATAATAATAGGCAGTAAATAAAAAGTTGACAGCGTAGCATTTAATTGTTGGTCATATTATCGGCCATTGAACTTAACTCTTAAAGCGTTTTGGATCAATGCCAAAAATTCAAAAATGAACCGCAAGGAGGAGTGTCTTGTCATCACGCGTGACCTGGAGCCATACCTCAGGCCAATCCAATGACCTGACACAGACACAGTTATCGCCCATGTGTATTACTCTGTGCGGCGGCTATCTATCAACTAACTGAAGTACTTACAACAAATAAACGGTAGGTGTTTGAATGAAGCTGTTTCTTATGCGAATGCAAATCGATTTGTCAATGGGGTTATGAAAGTGTTTGGCTGAGTAGATCGCATCCCAATTTAACATTTCCAGGCTCTGAAGAAGGCGAAACCGCCGAAACGTCAGTTATTTGTATTCTAATAAATTCTATAATAGCAACCTCGTGTCTGCTTATTGAAGAAAACATTGAATTATCAATTAATGCCGAGAAAGTCGGTCTTGAGAAATGAGATTTCCAACAGAAATGAAAATGAATTTTAAATTTCTAGAAGTATAAGGGAGATCGTGACAGCAGTAAACATCAACGGCGTAATCGGAGACATAATCGTATTCTAATGGACAGAATAACTTTCATTTTCGAAATTAAAGGCTAGTCGAAAAAATTGCACAGAGTAGGTATGATGAGCTCCAGAAATGAGGACATAATCATGGTGAAACAAAAAAGTTTTTTGCTTTAGTCAAAGGTTCGCAGATTCTAGTACTTTTTTGCGATTAATAACTTTTGACCAGACATATGTTGGTTTAAAGTTGAAAGCGACGGTTATTTTTGTTCCGTGTGAGTGGAAATCAGCATATGTCTGTCCTTAAATGTTAGTGGAATCGAATGCACAAAATATCCTTTACGGTTTTCTTTGCGCCAAATGTTTCATTCTTTATGAGTGTGCGGATTTCCTGGAGATCTAACCCGCTAATTAGTTTACACAAAGGTTTGATGAAGCCAAAGTATTGGTGTACGTTTCAATGGCTCACAGTTGTTCCCTTAGTGACTCAAAAGCGGTCAATACCGTTTCGTGTTCTATTCGTAGTATGGATATAGTAGAGAAAGATTCGAGGGAAAATTAGAAGAAACTAATTATTTATATTATGAACTTTTAACGTCCATTACAAAAAAGCTTACTTATTATCATATACTTTGTGTTATTAATATCTTATTCACTAGTATTGTTGTCATATAATATCATGGGTAATATCTATCGAACATTAATAAATAACGCGGTAATGCAAGCTCACCCATAACTGATAAGGCTGATATCAGTGCGATAACGTTGTACTCCATATGGTATACTGAAAATGTAACGAATGGAAATGACATAACCATAAGATACGAAGAGTAGCCCAAATCATTAAACGGAATTAGCGAATTGATAGAGGCTGAACGAACTGAATGAATAGTACATGGAAGCACAACGGAGATGGAAGAAACAAAAGCATATATTTCATTCATTAACGTAATTATTTCATTCAATAAATATTGGATAAGCTATACTTAGTGAATCACATATCAAACTGACGTTGAATTTGCCATATGGCGTTCCAATAAGTAGTGAATAACTTATGGTTAGGAAATTATGTACAACGGAAAGAGTAAGTAGTACGTTGTTATCTCAGTGCAAGAGATTTTGAAAGCAACCATGGACGATTTTCGCTTGAATTACCGTCTTCTTCATTCATCTAGAGTTCTAGATAAATACCAGGAAATTTTTGAGATATTATTAGTAGCGGTGGTAATACATAGCTATTAACGTAAAGTATTTCAAAATAGTAATGTGTGGCCCTGTGCGTAGTAAAACGTGAATCGGTCTCTTGAAGATATAACAGTGAAGAGACGTTCATTCTGTCAATGTGTCATCAAAACGAAGAAAGAATTGTGTAAACTTGAGTGACGATCTGGTAGATGAACTCGATTTACACAAGCCAAGACCGAAGGGTATGAATAATTAGATCGAGTCCGTCAATAACAACGCTTTCAACTCACGACGTCATTTGTGTCCGCAATTCAGACCTAAAAAGTAGCATTTCGTTGGTCTTCACATCTACCTTACACTTTTTCGGTAAAAAATATGCAATAGGTTTGCGTGCACAGAATAACTTGAGTGTTGAGTGTTTCATAAAGATAGCCAAGTAATGATGGAAGGAGAATCAATAAGCTAGAATGTTGAATCGATAAGAGAGGTTGCCGCGAGCGTGTAAGGCCGCTCGTTTAACTCGAATTTTCACCTCAATGAACGACTGGATATGCCAGCCTCAGTTCAGCTGGTTAACGAGGGCTCTGTGCTGGTTCCAGACTCCGTGACAAGAATAATAGCATGAATTTTCGATCAGAAAAGACGTTGCCAAAAAAGAACATCGTTAACTGACTTCCGGAAACAGAATTTACATTCGTCTCTCGTGACTTACCCTTCGTGTTTTCAATTTACTGTTTAAAATATATTATAATGTATCGATTTTTTACACAGCGTAATATAAAAATTCCTTAGAGGTTTAATGGATCATCGTGCAGATGAAGGAGACATTTCAGTTGATTCACTGTATACAGCGGATAGGACATTCACAGTGAATGTTTTCCTAAGAGTAAACCAATGCCGGAAGACGTCTCTACCCTCGAAGAAATTAAGTAGGCAGGTCTGCTTTCGATCCATAAAGGCAGACGAATGTCCATGGCCGCTCGCCATCTGTGTTGTGGCATGCGTTTTTCGGGACACCTGGGAAAAAAAGGGCGTTGTTGAACTAGTGATGTGATGTAGCAGTCTGCTTGAAAATATGCCTCGATTCTTCGTAAAAGGAACCATTAAAGGCAGGTGAAACATGTAAATTCTTTGGAATATTACTACTATGTACACTGAAAAAGAAACCAACCACAACGATACTGAGATATTCGCAAAACTTGGATCCCGGGTCAGATCGAACCACGATTTCCCTTTCCGGGGGTTCGCGCATTACACACTGCGACACGGAAGCTCCTGCTCTGTGTTTCTCTCAGTTATTGTAGGTGAACTTTTTACTGTTTATTTGATCCGATTTTTTATTCGTAATTCTGCTACAATGTTTTTAAGTTTCATCTTCATTGCCATGTTATCATTTTTATGTAACTTTATTGTGTCGTTTTCTTGTTCAGCAATCGCAAGGTTTTTAAACAGTATACATTTACTTCCATAGAAAAACACGTCGATCCTGGGAACTATTACAAGATGTACCAGCAAAATAACTTTATTGTAATTGTGCTACTCCAGTTTGTTGGCAAACATGAACGAAAGGGAGTAATTGAATTTTAAATTATATGTGTGAAATGATGAAAAAAACATAATCGAATGGGAGAATAAACGGGTGAATGAATGATTGGATGAATGTTCACACTGAGAGAAAAGTGAGAAAAATAGTAATGAGCGATGTACTTAATGAGTGGGGAAAACGAGTAATACATTTATTGAATGAATTAATGAATAGAAAGATAGAAGAACGATAAAGTAAATGAATGGATACTTGAATATCCGGATAACGAGCTGCAATTATCGACATGGAGGAGCAGTTGAGCAGTTGAGCAGTTGGTTGTGAGGCGATGGGATACTACAAACTGAGACGGGTCTTTTGCAAAACTTTGGACCGCAGGTGTCTATGGTGGGGAACCAACGCCCTATTGTCCTTTCCGGGGAGTAACGCGTTCACCACCACACCATGCGGGTCCTTCGTTTCACCTGTCTCTCAGCTATTTCTATCGATCTTTACCACAGCAATCACCCGTCGGCGGGATTGATCTGGGGCGCCCAAATCGGCATAGAACCCAGTTAAGCTGCGGCTGTAGTTGAAATCACAATGTTATACCTTTTTGTTTTCTACCTACTACAATTTCGTAAGCTATTTCTATCGATCTTTGCGACAGCAATAGCTGAGAGACAGGCGAAACGAAGGACCCGCATGGTGTGGTGGTAAACGCGTTACTCCTCGGAAAGGACAATAGCGCGTTCGTTCCACACCATAGACACCTGCGGTCCAGAGTTATGCAAATATCTCAGCAACGTTGTGTTTGTATTTCGCTTAGTACCCTGCCACGAAATTATAGTAGGCAGAAAACAAAAAGGTGTAATATTGAGACGGGTCTGTTCAACCTCCTGGAGCGGGAACGGGGAAGAAATGTAGCACATCACTATGGGAGGATAACTTTAAATTAACTGAAAAATTACTTTAAACTACTGGAATAGAGACGTTCAAATCGGAAGCAGATATGTGGTCTGAATAAATGGAAAGAGATGGTAAGGTCTTAGCAAAATGAAGGTGGTGAGGATTTCGGTGAAGCGATTGAAAGGGAAATGAGTAAAAATGATTTCTAGGTGGAGAAAGTAAAATTAACGAAAATGCAGTAGCAATCTATTGGAAGAGTACATGTTGACTAGGCGAAAAATGCTTTTTCGTGTCATTAAGAGAAGTCGACATCGAACACCGTATAGACCACGTCGAAAGGGTGATGGGATATAACAACTCAATATGTATAGAATATGTCGTTTGTATGTCCATGTCTATATTCATTCCATTTAACTACAGCACTGACTTTCCATATTTTCAAAACGCTTTAGCTAAATCAAGATTGATCATCGACTAATCGTCTGATCAGTGATTAGCCTGAGATGAGAGCAGTCGAGGATAAAAATCGCAGACATCAACGAGATAAATGAAGGTGAAACAGTGACAATCCGATTTTCACAAATCCTCAAAAATTTTACTGTACGACGATCGGACAGACGTCATTTTTTGTCGGCTATGAAGAAACCACTTTGCAGAATAGAACGGAAGACCTTTTGAAATCAATTGAAAAACGGGCAAAATAGTGAAAATAAAAACATCGGAACGAAAACTACTTCATATGGGGACTTTCCTGAAGTCGTTCAAAGTCATTTCATACCAGAAATCTTTTTTTGCAGTCAAAATTTGTAACCAAAAATCGGAAAACAGTCAGAATAGAAGTGGTAGCTATAATCCGAAAGAAAAGCTTCTATGAGTATACTATATGTACTATACTACGTCTTTGCAATATGTTTGTACATCTCTGATCAGGTTTTAGAGATGCCCAGAGAGTGGTGTTCGTTCAAAAAACACATTGAACATTAAATGTTTCCTGCTCCAGGTCTCTTAACTTTTGTTCCTAGAGGAAAATTCAGCCAAAGATCAGAAGAACGTCGAATTCCTTATAATTCATTAAACATCGTGGGCTACAAATGTCGACATTCAACATAGGATATCAATGTTTAGCTTTTATCCACTGTCTATTACTACTGCTTTTTTTTACGGTAGGGCCTTAAGTGAAATACAACGACAATAATGCTGAGATATGGGCGAACATGAGGACTTCGCCATCTTACTCGCTATTATTCCACTCCATCACCCACGTTTCTGGGTGCTCCATGGCTCCAACCAACGCCCTTTGCCTTCCCCTCAATTAGCTCAGTCAGCTTTTTTTTTTTTTACTAAATAACAGTTCTGAAGCGCAAAGCTGCAATTTCTGCAACACTTTCGCTCTTTCTGTGGTTGTTTATCAGTGGTAGATTGCAATGTTCATCAAGGCTTCATCACCTCAAAATGGTAAGTTGTTCTGTATTATTATCCAGAGGAACAGTGTAGAGTATTTCTTTGCCAAAGCAGGAAACAACCAGCGCCTTCCTATCCCCCAAGGCTGTTTTTCGCCAAAAGCAATAAGGATAAAGCACACCATAGCAAAAGTGTAACGCTCTCGGTATATCTTCGATCGAACTATGCTCATCGAATAGATTAGCAATAGGCTGAGATCGAATAGAAGCTTCAGATACCGCTTAAGTTACACAACAGTTGTTGGGGTAATAGATGGTACAACGGGAACTAAATTACTTGTTTGATTTAGCAATGCGACTAATTTTCAGCACATCCACATTTACTTGAGTGGAAAGCCGTGAAATTTCTGTTGAAAAATTTACTGACAGTTAGGCAGTTGCATAACACTTTCAATTACATCTGCGCGCATGGGACACTAGATCGATGACGCACAACTTTAATCCATCCTATTTTTACACCAGCAATTACAATCGGAAGAATTGTTATCTTGGTGAGCAGGGAACAATTTGTTATTGCACTATTTATTCACCATAGCTGACCTCTGGACCATTTTTTGACCTGAGCCATGCACCTCCCTCACCCATGTAGCACTCCGTGCCCGTCGTCTACATCAAATAGCTGGCAAACTTTTAAAGCAAAAAGAAACGGTGGGTGTTTAAAAGAGGCTATATACTATTCTCATGGAAGTTTATGTTCTAAGCTTTGTTTACTTGGGTTATGAAAATGTTCGAATGGGTCGATTGCGTGTGAATTTGGCTTTTTCTAGGCTCCGAAAAGGGCAAATCCGCGTCGGAATGTTAGTTATTGTGAATAAATATTGCGGTAACGACATCATCAATGCCGAGGTTAATAAAAACTCTGCCTTGGGTTTTGCTAGAATTGGAATTACTTCAGTCAGCTCTGTAGAAAAAACGCCTGGGACTTCTCGGTCTGAGGTTCGAGCTTCGCATTTGATAATCGTTGCTTTCCGCGCTGGCTGGGATTAGTTCAAGGTCTTCGCTTGGCAAACGAAGGAAGAGCGAACTTGGAATCTGGGATTACAAAGCAACTAACAGATATGGAGATTATTAGTGTGGGTTTATTCCATGTTTGGGAACCGACGACGATTCGGATATTCCTATGCATTTGTTTTGTGTACAATGAACAACCTCGCGATTGCTGAACAAGAAAACGACGCATTCATATTACAATGAACAACGTTCGAATGCCAGATTATCGATTGATGTGAGAAACTTGTCACGTTAAAAACCAGCTGTGCACCAGAGCCGTCGTCATCAACATGCGGAATTCCGCAAAAGCAAGAAAGAAACGTTTTTCTAAAAAACAAGCAGTCACGTATGACGTAATAAACTTCCTTCCATTGTGTCGACGACATTCGAGCAACGACCGCAAATTTACACTGTGTTGTCCTAAAGAATTTTGATATTGATACAAAGGAACATCCCTCTCAAAAACACTCAGTCTACATTAACCGACGAGGCAGGCTTTTGAATGGAACATCAATAAAAGTAGTACACGTAAACATATTTTTCACCACTAGGCATGGCTTCAGAAGATGTAAATATTTTAATACAATAGATGATGTTACGCCACTTAATGGTATTCGGAGACGTTTAGCAAGCCTGGAGAACAGTATCGATTGAAAAACACATTCACTGCATTTTGAACTGCGTAACCACTTTCCACTGGATAAGCATTTTTCTACAATATGTAACCATTTTCCTATATTTCTGAATAGCATAACAATACATGAGATTGATTTCACCTGTATCACCTGTAGTCCCGTTGATCATCCAGTGATTCGAGCGGGCGCCAGTAAATCTTCCATTTTTCCCTGTCGCGTGCAAAAGTAGCCCAGTGGGTTCTGCTCGCTCTAGGGACTCGTTGAGGGCCATATCTTTTTTCTAGGCTTTTCGTGAAGAACTTTGACCATCAGGTCGGTGGTCCTCCTGCAGAACGTTTAACATCACGAGGAATCCAGTCACTAACGGCTCTTGTCCATCGGTCACCGACGAAATGGCATGTCGGATTATGGAATGTAGAACCGGTGGTACAACATCCTTCTTTATTTCATACAACGTGAGGTGGACGTGGCTATCAAGGAGATCCGAGTAGTATTCGTGAATGATTTTCTCCATTTCCTTTCTGGACGCTGTAACTGTTCCGTCTCAGCGCCGGAGTGCAATCATTTTGCTCCTGTAATTGGCGAAGCTTCGGTGAGTTTTCGAATGCTTTTCCCAGTCTCTGCAGCTTCGACCACTACTGTTGCTCTTCTCTCTTTATGATCTTCTTTCATCGCCTGTCTGCATTGTTTTGCACGTCCGGACGTTAGTTCGCGTTTGCGTGGAGCTCGTGCGATTCCAAGCTGGTGTATCAGTTCGAGTGTTTCTGGAGACAGACGTCTCATGGTGACTTTCGAACTCTCAGCTTTCATAGTGCTAACGTGAAGATGTTGAATGAGCCGATCGTATTCTTCGTCGATGTTATCGACAACGGCATCTTCCCAACAGCCGACTAATGAATTGAATCAGTCCCAGTTCACGGTGGTTCTGGTACTTCAGTTTTGGAATTTAGCGGCTTTTTCTCCTTTCTGCGAGAAATAGAATCTTGCACGGAGACGGTGGTCTGATCCCGTGTAGAATTTTGGGACAACAGCGACATCGGTTAGGCAAAACCTTCTATTTACTATGATGTGGTCTATTTCGTTATGGTACTCTCCACTTGGAGACTCCCACGTCCAGCGCTGAGGGTGGGCTTTCTGGAATTGCAACTTACCATGGATTTTCTTGGTCGCCATGATAAACTTAGAGAGCCGCCCACCCTGTCCGTTCCATTCTAATCCGTGGGTCCCAATGTGACGTTCTTCAGACGATCTCCTTTGTCCGTGGTTTTCGCTGTAGAACTTCTCCAAGTCCATAGAGAGCGCTTCGACTTCTTCTTCGTCATATTTTGATATCGGCGCGTAAACGACGAAGATTGTCAAAGCCGGAATTGATCCACGTCTTTTCAATCGTAAACATCCGATTCGGGTTGTAAGTTGTTCGATTGAATCGATGTTCATGGACAAACTCGTGTTGTCGAGAACGCTGACGTCGCCGACTCCTCTACTGTCGCATGTTCTGAGGAACAGTTCTTCTCCGGTGTCATATACGGCGTTGAATTGGCGGCGTTGTCTCGTCTCGGCCAGGCCGATGACGTCGTACCCTATCCTTCTTGCTTGCACGAGCAAGTCTTCTATCGAGGACTCGGATACAAGTGTACGTGCATTGTAGGCACAGATCGTCACCACTGTTCTTTGAAATACAGGCAGTTTCTATTGGCTCTGAGATTTTAGCAGCCTCCTCCCGTACTCGTCCTACCAAAAGCTGCGAAGTTAAGGGCTCTTTCGGGATCAGAGGAATGAGGCCCGTTTTTTTTTAACTGTGTCTAGCATTTTGATACCCACGTATAGCTTGCTGGGCTCCGACCGGGGGGGCTGGGTATACTCACGGGTAGTAGCTTGCCAGGCAGGCTCTCCCAGAGTGGACATGGAGCTTATTTGCTGGAGGCGACTCCTAACCGCCTCCCATGTACTTCCCAGTCACCTGATTACAGCCTTTTGGCTGAATTGGTTCGTAGAATACAATCTGCACAAACTAGAACGCACCCACACACACATGCATGAATACGCCGCGTAAACACAGAAAGTATGCGCCAAATCAACGCAGTAGAAACAGGAAGTCCATCCCTTGGACCCACCTACGTCTCAGGGAAGCAAAGGTTGCTTTTGGTCCTCTGCTGAACCCTATCCACCATCTGGGAACGCGCCACGTAGCCTAGCGACTAACCGACTCGAGATCGCTCATATGAGGGAGATCCGCGGCTTGATGTATGAGATGAGATTCATGTAAAACGTTTATTTGACGCTTCAAATATCGGATGATTATGTTATCTCTGAGTTCTCATTAGACAAGCTGCAAATGTGTAACAAATCGTTGAGACATGTTAGATGGAATATTAGGCTAAACAACAAAGTGGTCTGCATTGATCAATTCGTTAGGGATACGTCATGAATTCGACGCTATCCGTAGAGCTGTAAACGTGATTGATTGCATATTTGTGCATTGAAGCCATTTACGATCATCAATTCATCAAGTTTCTTTTCTTGTCCACTGAGCACATCAATATCCATTTCACTTTGGGTGGTGAGCTTGGTTTTGCACGAGATCTACGATCGAACTAACGACTATGTATGTATTGCAGGACGCCTTGAACCACTGTATTGGTTACACGCACATCGCATGCGGTGTACTGCAAAAAAGGACGTGACGACAATGAAGATTTTTCATTTCATTTCACTTTACATGACCCGTCATCGCATCTACTCTGCAGATCCTAGCACTTCTTGTGTTCGATTCGTTTTCCTAGCACTCATCATCCACAATGATCTTTCAACATTTCGCGTGTTCTCTCGGCCTCTGCTTGAGGATTTATGTCTTCTCCATGAGTGTCGTAGAACACTGGTCGAGTCCAATCACATTGCAATCGCGGAGATAGTCGGGCCAGCGCGTTCATTCGTGGAATAGGGAACAGACTTGGGAGGAGATCGAACTAGAGCTTTGTTTGCTGACAGCACCGCCGACTACTGCGCTATATTACTGCCCCTTCATTAACATATTTATTGATATTTTTCATCTGTAAATGAAGATTCTGTACGTGAAAATATGCTTTATATAATGAAAAAGCTTTATGTTTCACGTTATACTACACAAAATTAGACAAACACAAGTAACCGTTACCAGTACTTTGAGCGCAAATTGATGAAAATATCACCATATTTGTTAGAATGAACAGATAATGGACATTTATAGAACACATATAGCCACAAACAAATCATAGAAAGGGGCAAGAAGAAAAAACGACGTGCTCGCTTTGCTTGAACATGAATTGTTTCCACGCCTTCAGTTTTCGCGCAGAGCGCACGTGAAGTGCAGATGCGTGCCAATTTGCATTAGCATTCGACACTCGGCTGCACAAGAATTCCTGAGTTCCGAATTCTCTTATTACCTCACTCTTTTCAATTTACTGCCTACTCTTTTTTAATGACAGGGTATTATGCGAAATGTAACCAAAATTGTGCTGAGATATTTGCAAAACTCTAGACCGCTGGTGTTTGCGGTGGGGACTGAACAAGCTATCACCCTTTTCGAGGCCAGCCCGTTCACAACCACGCCATGTGAGCCCCTCGTGTCGTATTCTCTCAGCCGTGCTATTGACCTATGTGCTATTAGCAATCACCCGCCAACAGGACTCTTATTACCACTAGAGTAACTTTGTTCCTCCACTTTGCACATGTTTTACCTACTAAGAATCTGTTTAGTTATCGAAGAAATCAAATAACTGCGTGTAAAATCTCCATTCGTCCTTTTCTCATACCGATCTATCCAATGACATATGTTTTCTCTCCGAGAACGTAAAGGGTATTACATTTGCTGTGGAGCCTTCCAATTTAATTACTTTTGACGAGAAACTAGTCATAAACGAATTCGCCGAGCTTCCTGCATGGAGTAAATTCACTTCTAGCTGGTTTTTTCATTAATAAAGGCCAAAGTATTCTTTCTTGATAAGCTTGCACGAGGTTGATAAATATATTTATTTTCGGCTAACGTTTCGACGTCTTCGTCTTCCTCAGAGCCGATGATCCGAGTCGATGGTCCATGATTGTTGTTCGTCTCGACGTTGCAGCTTCGCCTTCGTGTCGAGCCAGGTCTTCCTCAGTGAGCCATCTTCTCGAATGAGGCATCCTCACCCAGTGATGCCCTTTTATACACGATGCTGATGGTGGATATATAATGATAATGTCCGGTGGTAACAACTTGTGTTTCTTCCGGGCATTCATCATTGCGCACATCGTGCAGAAGTCGGTGTTTTTATCAGCTAGCACAAAGTGTAGCAATAATATTTCGAAACCGACTTTCTCTAAACCTCGGTGTGACTAATCAATATGTATTCTTTCCTGATAAGCTTGCACGAGGTTGATAAATATATTTATTTTCGGCTAACGTTTCGACGTCTTTAACGTCAAAAAAAAGGCCAAAGTGTTGCTCACTTTCGATGATGCAGCTGTGGTGATAAAACTAAAGTGCAGATTGCATCTTTTCACCTGAGAACAACTACCAGCTACAATGAGTCGGCAAACCTTTAAGTTTATCACCATTGTAATCATAGTAATGGACAGATTTTTGTCAGTTGTTCCGAATTTTTGTACCATTCCATCTCAAACTAACTGTTGTAACATTCTGCTTAAATCATTTCAATTCTCATTCTTTCGTTTTCCGCGTGTTATTCGCTGCCAGTGGACGGTCAATAGTCATAGTGTATAATCAACTTGACCCCGTAGTCGTAATTTCGATTTACCTTGCCGTTTGTGAGTTCAAATGAGGTAAATCTAAATAATTCGTAGCAAACATATCTAAGAATGTGGAGGTTTTGATTCTCCTCGGTGGATTAGTTCCTTCAAATCAGTTCTCTCGGTAGTTGTATTCATCTTCTATTTTCATTATCCACGTGTATTCTTTAGCAACTTCAAATCAGTGATAATAGTGATATTGTCACGAAAATAATGTCACTGCTGTCTTTACAAACTATGACGCTCTGTTTCAGATAGAGTTAACATTAATACTGGTTAACATTTTTGCGTTACTACTGTATATAAACTATTAAGACTGTTGCTGTTCATGAAGGGTGACCAGCACGATATTAGCAACTAACGCATAATCTGCTTAGTGTCTGTCGTCTACAAACTTTTCGCTCCGATCATCCTAAACAGGATTGATAGAACACTGGATGAAGGACAGCCATGTGAGTAGGCAAGGTTTCGAAACGGAATCAGCAAGATGGACCGTATCCACACGATAACAAGACTCACTGAAGTATCGCAAGAGTGCAAGAGTCCACTCTGTCCCACTTTCATCGATGTGAAGGAAGCCCTTGATTCAGTAAAGATTGAAACAACGATGGAAGCCTTGGACAGCCAGGCAATCCCTGTTCAGTATTTAAAGATTCCTCGTGAGCTATATAACAATTTCATAGTTACAATATCACCCCATTCCACAAGGATATCAACATTGACATCAAAAGGGAGTTAAGCAAGGAGATCACACGTCGCCAAAGTTGTTTACTGCCACCTTCCAGTCCAAAACACCGTGTGAACATTGAAATGGGACAACATGGGAGTGAAAATCGATGGTAACCAATTACAGCATCTTCGTTTTGCTGGTGGCATCGCTCTTATAATGCGAAGCATGTCCACGCGCAACGAATGCTTGACGACTTTGACAAAGCTTGTGGAGAGATTGCTCTTCTACTAAATCCCACAAAAACAGTCCCAGATTTGAGCAGAAGAAAAGGAACGGCTTGGGATGCTTTCAAGAGCATGTAGGGAGAACAAAGAAT